TTAGAAATGTAAAACTGAATCATCAGGAAGAGATTTAAATGCATAGAAGAGATTTATAATGCACAAATCTGATCGTGTTAATCTTCTGCTGAACAACTCTCAAAGGCTGTGAAGTTCATACCCCCTACCGGGGCTCTGAAGTCCTTGCTGTCTGGGGTCAGCCTACCACTTCATGCTATAGATATCATCACCTCTCCTCTTCCTCTCACCCCTCATGCACTCCAGCCTAAAAACTGCCTTCCAGTTCCCAGAAGAAACCTTCCCTCAGCATATTCTCCTCCACTGAGTGTTCTCAGTTTTTATTCCTCCCCAACATACACACAACAAGTGCATACACAATATACACAATACAGTTACCACATACAACATATAGGCACAATTATATAACATATATAACACCTATACCACACATAATACACACCTTATACATATATGTACACAACACAAACAATATAAACAACCTATACCACACAAAAAAATATACCACACAAAATACCTATACCACATACAACACACAAACCACGTATGCACAATGTATGTGAGAACATTCACAATAAATACATCACACACACATACCATACACAATACACACACCATATATACACCATATACATGTACAAAATATACAGCACAACACATACACCACATACAATACACAGTATATGTGCAGGATACCTAACACACACCCCACACAATATACACACTGTAAGCACAGCATATGTACACATAAACACATCCCCACTTTGGCCACCACTTATTTTTTTACCTAGTTCCTCTGTAACCTTTAGGTCTCAATTGAAACATCACTTCTCAAGAGACCTTCCCTGATGCAGCGGCCTCAGGTCTGACTGCTCCCACTCCCATCCCCTCCTGAACACATATTATAATTTGTAACTAGACACCGACCCATGGCCAGGTTCATCACTAACCTGCAGGCTGGTCTTTTTTTTGCTCTTCTTTGTTAACTAACACAGAACACAATGCCTGTCACATAGAAGGATCTCAAGAAATATCTGCTGAATAAATGAATGAATGAAATCCTAACCTAGACTTATACAAACACCTGCTGTTTCTGCACCTGACCTGTCCAACTCATGGTGAGCAAAGACCCCAAGGGCTTATGTGGCCCATGAGCTACACCCTCCAAATTAGCCCTTGGGGTGTGCCTTTTCACTGAGACTGTAGTTCCCTTAAGAATCAGCAAGTACTGACTTGGTTCTCCTGCCTCCATCCCTCAGAAGCTGGGCAGCCCCTTCCCCTAGGGCTGGACCCTGCTTCCTTTATCCCTGAGGAAGCAATGTCTCACCAGGAAGTGAAAGCTGGAGAGGAAAGCCTTAACACTAAGCAAAACCTAGCAGCCACAGGGAGGATTTTTTTCCAAAACACTTTCGTCTTTATTTTTTAGACTAAACTCAGGAAATACTGTTTTTGACACTTCTGTTTTGTTTCATGATGATGTACAAGCATGCTTTACATGTCTGACACTGTCCTCTCATTCGGTTATGACAACTTGCTTTGATAATCAACAGTTTTGTGCAATGATGCACAGCCTGAAAAATCTTATGCCTTAACAAAAACTTCCATACCAATTGTTTACTGTGTCAGAGAGCTCATTGTTTTGACAGTAGTTTTTCCTTTTAGGACTTTAGAATCTTTTAGGATCCCTTAACACAAATTCTGTTTCCTAGAGTCTCCCAGTCAGTCCTTCCATGCCTCAGACATCCATTGACCATGGACCAAAATTCTTCAGAATATAAATGCCAGATACAGGCAGGGCTCAGGGCTATCTCTTTAAATATAGGTACTTGCAAAAATATCATGTAGAACTGAAAATAACTTTAAACATAAAATACTTGAGTAAGCATTACTAAGGAGATTTTCTTATGCTTTGATGAGACATTTTGTTCCATATGGAAGAAACAAAGAGACAAATGAAGTACTACTAAGTGAATAATCCCATACCTACTGGAAATAAAAATACTATATATAATAAATTTTTTCTTTCTTTGACACTAATAACATTTTTTCAATGATTACTATCTGCTAGGCATTTCTCTAAACCTTACACATGTATTAACTCATTTAATTGCAGGACAGCCCTTGGAGAAAAACATAGTAATTATTTTCATTGTACAAATGAAGAAAAAACCAGGTCATCACTCAAAGTCATATAGCTAGGAATGGCAGAGCCTGTAACTTGTGAGCTTTGCTACTCCTGTGTCTTCCTACTGGTAAATAAGCCAGGTGAATATTTTTTTAGTTCCCAAATCCAGATAGAAAACAATAAAATTTTTGTTATGCATTCTATTGTTTTGTGAAGGATAACACTAGATTTTTATTTTTTCTAGATTTTAACCATTGCTAATGGGTAGTTTGGTATGATGACAAAACTGAGGCAGGTAGACCTGGATTTAAAATGTAACTCTCCCACTTCCTACATGATCTTGGAAGACTGCCTTATAACTCTGATCCCATCTGCCTTTTGGGGAAGCAGAGATCTTTACTGCCATTGTAAGAAGAAAATGAGATAACCATATATAAATTGACTGGCACATAGCTGATCGATAGCTTTCTTTATTCCAAGTGTAAGAAGACATTAGGAAATTACTTTGTCAGGAAAAGGAAAGCTTGCTCAATAAATTATGAATTCAGTGTTGTGAACCATATGCTCCTAGCCAAAAATAGTTACTGTCTTCTAAGAGTTAGAGTCGTATGAAAGGATGACAGTATTGATAAGAAAACTACACTTTTCCAACCAAATTGCAATTTGTATGAGCAGTTACAAAACATTACATGAAAAGACTGGTGATCAAATTAACAATCAAATGAGTGTACATAACAGTCTGCTTGTGGAAAGGTGGATATTTCACTAATTCCATCCTTTTTCTATCAAATTCTGCTTTCCCAAATCCCTCCACCAGAGCTCTCTGCATGTTTGTGTACACAGACTCACGGGTGTACCTTGTATATACAAACTCCCTAGGTCAGCTGCCAAGTAGTGTTTGTGCCTAAAGAGAATGTTCACTGAGGGTACCAGAAAAAAGCCTGAGATGATTTAGCCTCGATCCAGGAAATGCCATTCTGTTAATCCCACTGCAGTCAGCTGATGGGCAGTATGTTTTGTATCTCATGACCACCTCCCATCACTGATGACAGAACTGCTCTTGGGATCTGACATAAAGACAACACCTCAGAGAATGGTCATACAAGGGCACTGTAGGAGCTACAGTGTTCTGGAGAGTTAGCTAACAGCCTAAAAGACTCAGGGCATTCATTGTCCAGGGAGGGAAAAAAGAGAAGTAAAGTAAGAGATTCCTGAAGCAAGCTGACAGGGATGGAGTGACCCTGGGAAGTCACAAAGCAATGAGTACAGTTAGGACTTTCAAAATAATAATAAGCAGATTTACCCAGAGAAAGATGGAGAGAAAAGCAGCTATTCCTGGGCTGCTTTCATTGAGAGTAGTTTACAGAAGTGGTTCCAGTTTAGCTCTGTCTTTACAGTAGACTGCACAATACACACCCTAGGATGTCCATTTGTACACAGAAAGATGACCAAAAACATGTGCAATATGAACTTGAGAAGCAGACCCGCTGGCATTGCCCATTGCTATAGATTCTTATTGGACATCCTGTTCCTTCTAATGTCCTCAGTTCCCATAACTGTGAATACTACTGAGAGCAGACCCTTAAGACAGCAAGGGTTGAGGGCACAGACCACCAGAGCTGAGCACAGGATGCATGTCCGTCCCTCTCTATGGCAGTAAGGAAAGATTAACACACCATAGAGGAAGCTTCAACTGTGAAAAGTGCAGCTAAATTTAGTGGGAATCTGAGGAGAACTCCAGATGTTTAGAATTAGGATGACTGCAAACATTCATTCCTCCAGATCCACCAAGCTTGCTTTTAAAATTATTTTTATATCTGGTAAACAAACCCATATTCTCCTTTCCTGGTTGCAAATGGACTGATTCTTTAGGGAGTGATAATGCTCAAACTGCTTAACACAGTTTGCTGTTCTTTCTCCAGCAATTGCATAATTCACACATCAATATGATTCTCACAATTGGTAGTTTTGAAAACTTGGGGATTAAGTATAAACACCACTATACACAATAACTCTTCCAAACTGACTGTATGTACACCTGGAACTGGGGGTTTTTGTTATTTCCTGTTTTGCCATCTTCAGGGTCCAAATGTTATTGTGGCCATAAACACTCCTCACTATATCATGCCATGGAATTAAATTTGATACTCCCGTCATGGGGTGGGGTGGGGGTAGAGGATAGCACCCTTCATACAGCAAAGTAATGAGTTGCAGGAGATCACCCAAGTTCATGTCTAAGATCTTCAGCTCTGCACCACCAAGACAGGTCAGCCCCTGTGCTCCCACTGCCACTGCATGGACAACCCAGAATACAGACATCCTCAGCCAGTATGGACACACACTGAACATTCTCACTCCCGGCTCCACTGCACAACTCTGTCTCATAATTATTCTCATTATGGCAGCACTCTTGCATGTACAAACTAGCAGGTTCAAAGGCTGTGGATCTTTTTCTTTTTCTTTTTTTTTCTTTTTTTTTTTTTTTTGTACTGGGGATAGAACTCAGGATCTTGTACTTGCAAGGCCGGTGCAGTGCCACAGAGCTAAATCCATGGCCCAAACAATCTTTTCCTTTACTCTCAGCAATCACATTTTTTTGGAATCTACCGTCAGGACTGGAAGGAAGGGAGGGAAGGAGGGAGGGAGAAGATAGGAAGGTGAATGAAAACCCTGGGAATCTTCTTGTTCAACAGATTCAAGCAACTTTGTTAATTAGGTAATACTGGATTCAGGCCTTCCCAACACACACACACACACACACACACACACACACACACACACACACACACTACAACCCTTACTATGGTTACTAAGATATGGAGTGAGTATGAAATGATCAACGTGGGAGTTGCAGGCTACATTTCTTGCTTCTAACCCCAACATGTTCATTTTACAGGGCCGTTGTTCAAGAGAGAACTGCAAGTATCTTCATCCTCCGACACACTTAAAAACTCAACTAGAAATTAATGGGAGGAACAATTTGATCCAGCAAAAAACTGCAGCAGCGATGCTCGCCCAGCAAATGCAATTTATGTTTCCAGGAACTCCACTTCATCCAGTGGTGAGTGTGTGTCTCAGCTAAGATGGCCTGGCTGATTAAAGTGCTACTACAGGCAGTGCCACAGTGACCTAAGATGGTGTCTCTTACGTGTCTTTTTGGTTACAAATAGAGCTTTGAAACTCAATAGATGCTGACAATAGTTATTTTTTAATTAAATGAAAAATGTGTGGAAACAGAAGGCAAAGACAGTTGCTAATCAATACATGTAAAATATGCATCACGCCAACTCTTTCTCATCAATAAACTCCATAGTTGAACCACTGTAGAAGGGAAGCTGTTCTACATTTTCAGTGATAGTGTGGGTTAATTATGTACAGAAGAGGTTTTGATGCCTAAGATACTTTTAGCAATGTAGCAGAAGTTTATTTAGTTCAGTGGTGTCATTTGCTGGTGGAGGAAAGTGAGAAATGAGAGGTGAATGATTTTTCAGTGCCATGTAGGTGATGCACGGGGGAGCTGGGACTTGAACTCAGGTTATCTAGGGTATTTTCTGCAGCAGGAGCCAGATTACAGCTCCATAAGTCAGATGCCAGGACAGTCTGCCTAGTCACTTTGTCCCCAGCCTTGTAGGCCTACAAAAGGGTGTGGCAACTGGGACAAGGACCACAAGTTAATGGCCCACGGAGTAAAGTAAATGAATATGTATTATGTAATACATGCTCCCTGACTGCAGTGTTTGAAGGTTCTTCCTGAAAGGTCTAGAAAGTGTTCTAGAAACAAAGCCCTAGGGGAAAGGATTGAATCTGACTTTAATGGGTTTCTTTTACATTTGTGAACTATTTGTCAAAAACAAACTAATTTAAAAGAAAACAACAAAGCCAACGTGAGTGAAATTTGTTTCTTTTTAAAAAGTACATGCACAAAGGATTATTGTATCAAAATCAGTCCTTATTGTCAGAAAAGTCTGTGCGACTGAAAGCTGCTGAATTAAAAGGGATAGCTACCAGGGAGTTACATTTTCTTAACTGTGTTCCTGTAAGAAGAGCTGGGGCAGGTGGGGGTGGACAATAGGAGAGGAGACAATCTGGGCAGATTGTGAGCAATTCTGCTTGTCTTCAAGTTTCTTTACCACAGAGCCAAAAATGTTTTTGCAGAATTAAAAAAAAAAAAAAAAAAAAAAAAAAAAAGA